ACACAAACATATGGCATTGATTATACAGAAACATTTGCACCAGTAGCAAAGTTAAATACAGTTCGAGTCCTTATATCACTAGCAGCAAACTTGGATTGGCAACTGCAGCAACTGGATATTAAGAATGCACTCTTAAACGGGGAATTGGAGGAAGAAGTGTACATGACATTACCACCAGGTTTTTGCAAGGAAAATGAAGAAAAACGGGTATGCAAACTGAAAAAGTCATTATATTAGTTCAAACAGTCACCGAGAGCACGGTTTGACAAATTTGCTAAAGTGTTGAAAAATCAAGGATATTGTCAAGGACAATCAGATCACACTTCCTTCGAGTATTTGAGGACGACACTAAAACAATTCTAATCGTATATGTTGTTGACATTATTTTAACAGGAGAAAATATAGTAGAGATGGATAGATTAAAGAAGAGCCTTGCCACTGCATTTGAAGTAAAGGATCTGGAGCCAATGCGACACTTCCTTGGAATGGAAATTGCTAGGTTGAAACGAGGCTTCAGCATATCACAACGAAAATATGTCCTTGATCTTCTCACCGAGACTGGTATGCTAGGATGCAAACCAAGTGATACTCCTGTTGATGTGGGAAAGAACACTGAAGATGAAGACAATCCAGTAGAAATTGATAGATATCAAAGACTGGTTGGAAAATTGATCTACTTGTCTCATACTAGACCTGACATAGCATTTGCAGTCAGTCTAGCAAGCCAGCATATGCATTCTTCAAAAGAAAGTCACTTAGAAGCCGTCTATAAGATACTCAGATATCTCAAGGGCTCACCTGGAAATGGATTATTCTTCAAAAGGGGTGAAAAAATTGAGATCTTCACAGACGCGGATTGGGCAGGATCGATAGACGATAGAAGGTCTACTACAAGTTACTGCACATTTGTATGGGAAAATTTGGTAACTTGGAGAAGTAAGAAACAGAATGTAATGACCAGAAGTAATGCTGAAACTGAGTTCAGAGCAATTGCACAAGGAATTTGTGAAGGACTGTGGTTGAAGAAACTTCTGGAAGAATTACACATTACAATTAAGTTACCACTCAAACTTTATTGTGATAATAAAGCAGCGATTAACATTTCCCTTAATCCAGTTCAGCATGACCGAACTAAACATGTGGAGGTAGACAAACATTTTATTAAAGAGAATGAGGAAAAAGGAACCATCTGTATGACCTATGTTCCCACACAAGCACAAACTGCATATATCTTAACCAAAGGACTACCGAGACAGAGATTCGATGATTTCATCTTCAAGTTGGATATGATTAATATTTACGATCCAACTTGAGGGGGAGTGTTGAAATCACGTAATAATAGGGGTCAAGATTAGGAATGATTTGAGATGATTTATCTTTCCATGTGTGGAATATTGTAATCTTTTAGATTGTAGAATTATTTCTTTCCTTATATTTTTCCTTTCCTTGTACTATAAGTAGATGTATTGAGTTGTAAATTAATAAGAAAGAAATATTCCACTTTCTCTTCAAAAGACATGTATGGAAGGCCTTCAATTTCGATTAAAGCAATTGTGCTCATGTTTTTGTTTGCCTCTAGGCTGTTCTTTCTAGATATATTGGGGGACAGGGGCTTGCAGAAACTTATAATCAGATCAGTGAAATAATGTGTTGATCCATTTTTTTCAAAACTCAAAATATGTTCATTGCCATGTTAGTTAGACATAATCAATCGAATATAACTCAAAAAATATAGCTGCAGTAGCACTTCCAGAAATGCAGTGAACTGGACATTTAGCCCCTTTTTGGTCCCAATTTTTCGAAACTCATTTTTCTCCAAACTCATTTTCAACCAAACATTTTATGGGACATACAACTTTTATCAACTTTTCAATCACATACCATCAAATTTTATCAAAATCAACTAAAAATCTAGCCAAACCAGATAGGGGCTTAATTTTAAATGGAAGGTAAGGGTTGGGAAAGAGCAGAGAGATTCGTGAAAGAGTTGCAAAAAGGCTAAAAAAATGATCAAAACTCAACATTCACAAATTAAACAAGCAATACCTGGCCTGCATTGCGAGAATCAGGATCTATTTTAAGGCACTGTTCATATGCATCAATTGCCAAACCTATGTTCCCTGCGTCTCTATAAAGAACCCCTAGACATTAAAAAAACAACATATTACTGAAACAATATAGTAACCAAATAAAAAGGAATTTCCAACAGAAATTTAGAAGGAATATAATAGATGATCCAACACTTCAGGCAGCAAAAATTCTAAAACGTGATTTTGATTATAGGTGTCTCGTCATCAATGCGGTAGCCTGAACTAATGAAAGAATTTGTTTATTTTGCGTGGATACTAACTTTAGAAGAAATAAGTTTCATTGACATCAGTCAATCCCTTAAAGGTGATACAGTTCAGTATTGCCACTCAGGCAAAAGAAACTTATTGACCAGAACACAAAGCCTTTCTATTCATGCGGATAGGTAACTGTCAAGACATAGGGAGATGAAAGGATGGAGAGAGACCTAAATTATTATATGCTTCTGCATATGTAGGATTTGCTGCAATAGCTTTCTCTATCATGCTGGCAGCAGCATCCATTTTTCCCTGTGCACAGTCACAAATGCCATGAATTTTACCAGCCGGGCATATGGTCTTTCAGGAAATTAAATGTGAAATACTATAGATACAGAACCTGGACAGTGTAGACTACTCCAAGATTATTTAATGACTGAGAGAAGTTAGGTTTGATTGATAAAGCCATCTGCAAAGACATAAAAAGAATAATAATAATAATAATAAAAACTGAAACATTTGTTTTGTTTCGTTTATAAAGACCCAAAGGAATTAAACTTGCCTGGTAACATTCTACTGCTCTGTCAAGGTTGTCCCGATCCTTGTATATCACTCCTAAATTATTACATGCCTCTGCACAGTGGGGATTGAAGTGGAAAGCAAGTTCGTAGAATACAACTGCCTGCAAAAGTAGGACGTTATTTACAAGAAGATGGCAAGATACAGCCACGTAATATACATAAAGAAGAAAATATAAGCAGATAAGAAACATCCTTCTAGTCCTGGAAGCATTTTATTACGAGATTATCTTTTACAGTTGGCAGTTTGCATGATATGATTTTTATACCCAATTACCATGTCAAATTCCAGCATTTCTCCATAAGCAACCCCTAGATTGTACATGGCATCAGCATAGTGCCAATTATAATACAGTGCTTTCTTATAATATGCCACACCTTGGTCGATGTCACCCTCCAATTTGACCTGCACAGAATCATCCCATGTCAATAACAGTGATACAAGAGCATATGTTTATTTTTCATAAACCCTTCTAATAGAAGATCATGTTTAATGATATAAAAGGGTCAGTAATGTACGAGAATGCTGGAAAATATTGATTCACATGATTTTGGGAATGTCCTTCAGGTTCCCAATTCTTATAAAATGAGGAACTGAATTAATTGCCCTGAGAAACCCCCAAGTTGTTCATATTACAAACTTCACTTGTTGATGAAGACAAGTGCACAAATTCAAAAAAAGTTACAGCAACATAAGGAGTGCATTTACAATTGCAAAAGTTTAGGGCTTCTGTATTCACTGTTTTCAGAAGAATGAAATACAAGGCAATTGCTGCAGGACAGAAGAGGTGTGAAAATATACTAAATGAACCCGTCCGATTCAAGTAATAATAAAGTATCTACTTTGGTTTACTAAAAATGTAAATGAGCTGGAAATATCCATGTACAAAACCTTTGTGCCCAAATCAGTCAAAGCAATTGCCATGTTATTTTTTGCAATCTCAAAGTTTGGAGAGACAGCAAGACACCTGTATATACAAATAAGAAAAGAGTCAAAATGACATCAAGTGGAGGAAACTCTTCCTACCATTATATTTGGGGAAAAAAAGAAGATGATGATGAATTATAGTTGGGAACCTCTCATAACAGGCAATTGCAGACTCCAAATCCCCACGATTTTTATAGATAACGCCCATGTTGCAATATGCTTCAGCATACATGGGTCTCACTATAGCAGCTTTCTCATAGCAGTTTAGGGCAGTGTCATATTGCATCATTTCAGAATAGACAACACCAAGGTTGTAATAAGCAGGCTGCAATAGAAAGCCATCATATCAAAATTCAATGCCTGAATAGCAAAATCAAAGCGACTGGAATCCCAAAAAAGGAAGCAGAGAAATGTGAAACTACAGCATAGTGTGGGTCAATTTTGATAGCTTCATAGTACTTCTGAATACCATCCTGAGTGTTACCAGCAAGCTTTAAGCTGGTTCCAAGATCTGTTAATACGATTGCCAAACATTCAGCAGCTAGTTTATAAGAAGGATCAGCCTTTAGAGCTTTCTGATACATCTGCATTATAGAAATTCAAAAAACATGAATAATGACTAACAGAAAGTCATACAGCAAAATGGACAACTGAATACCCCTATCAACAATTCAAAGTGCCGAATAAGCTCTAAATGCTAAATCAATGGCACGAGGCTTGTTACAGATGAATAACTATCACTACAGCATTCAGGACTTCCCAGGATGAACCCCAATGAGAATAGCAAATTAAAATGCAGAGAGAGAGTTCTACCAAATATAGGTCATCATTTATTGCTACCAATCCCAAGCATAGGATATATTTTCATATCGGAGGTATACTCATAATTGTTGTATTCCTAAAAGATATATCAAAAGATTGTTATGTTTTGTTTACCATAGATGCATGAAGAGTGTGAAAAACACTCTCGAGAAATTCACTACACTAAAGCAGGCATCACCCAGCAGAAGGAGAGTGATTAGGGCGAATCAAAACAGGTATAACGTCCTAAAGGCTCAAAGAGACATGAAGACCAAGATACGGGTATGACTTTTATAGGTTTGGTTGCCAACAAAAAGACAATAACTTCAAGATAGAGAAGAAATGAAGAAACACAACAGAAGAGGAAAATTCCATCAAGTATCAATTTACACTTTTAACTCAGAAATTAAAAATTCGTAAAGAGAGCATTAATTACCCTTTCTTATTACACAAGCTCTAAGGCTATATCAAATCACCCTTTCTTATTACACAAGCACTAAGGTTGCACCACTTAGTCAGAAATTTGTTTTGATTACTTTAAAAAAAAAAAAAATTCATTCTAGCAGTAAAACAACTTAAAATATTGACTAAACAAGTTCAGAATTGCAAAACCAATTACATCAGAGATGCACCATGCTTATTTCAAGTTGGAGCAGTAACATAAACACCACATCCATACCTCGGCAGCCTCCACCAGTTGACCCTCATCTTTATACAAGATACCACAGTGCGTGAGCGCACATGCGTTTTGCGGTTCCATCCGGATAGCTTCTGAAAAACTATCGTATGCAAGCCTCTTCAAGTTCTGCATTTGTAGACAAATCCCCTTGCCAATGTAGGCGTCAACATTTTCACTATCCTCCTCCAACACACTCTTGTAGACAGCAAGCGCATCCACAAATTTATTCCTGGAGCGGAGAATGTTGGCATAGGATAAAGCATCTTTCCCTTCAAAACTATTCTTAGGTTGACTAATGCCTATAGAGCTTCTGCTGGCAGAAGAAGGTTGCCCTTCTGTCGAGAAGATGTGATCATCAGTTGAGTCATTTCCTTTTTCATTGCCAACATCGTTTTCTGTCCAGGCCATGTGACTTAATGAGCAAAAACAAATTCCTGAGATGGGATAATAAATGGTAAGAACAGAAAAGAAACAAAATTATATAACAGACTATTTTCCATAGTTCCAAATCATCAATTGTTTCTTCAGACATCAAAAAATATCCTTCCATTAACAAGAACATTAACTAGAATCCAAGGAAAATAAAGTTTGTCCACAATACCCCAACTAGTACTGCATCAACTAATTTCCGCTCTCTTCCCAATACCATAAACTATCCAATCTTAGTGTTATTTTGAGGGGTAAAAAATTGATCATGAAATATTAAAAAACAGCAAACTTACATTATATATGTTGAAATGCTAATTACTCAATACAAGCCAATACTAGAAATGTACAGGTCAGAAAAAGCTTTCAGATAGCTGGAACTCATGGCACTTTTTGTTCAATTTAGGGGTAAACAGGATTATGCAATTGGCTAAAGATAATCATGGGATTAAGTATGGGTCTCAGGAGCGTCAACAGTAACCAAAGAACTATCAATTGTGGAACTAGAGGACCCTTTAGTATCTTCAAAGGTTCTGAACTTAATGTAACACTACTGTTCACTTATTAACCAAACCATATTCAACAAGTTCAGGACCATAAACACTGTGGTATAAAAGTCAAATACTCTCATATAATTAGCAATTTTACCAAATAAACCTGCACCAAATATTTACTCACATATTACCCAAAAGAAATAAGAAGAAAACTAGCATCTTTAGAAACTACAGAAATGATATTCAAAATATGTCCCAATCTGCAGGGAGTTTGTGAATTATTCTGTTGGGGTGTCCCCGTTATCCACAAATTGCATTGGATCTGGGGTGCAGTAATTAGTAGAAAGATGGCATGGTTTTAGCTGGTGAGATAAGACATGAAAAAAAATTCATGATTTTTATTGGCAATAAAACTCTACTCTAAAGCCACCTTTGGCACCCAGGATTATGCCATATAAGAAATTTAGTGTAAAATTATAATGGATAATAATAGGTAGATGGTATTACGGTAGATAGTACCCATTGACTTTTCATTCAAAGAATGTTATTTACTATATCATCATTATTCGGCATAAACTCACCTCTAACCTCTATATTATGTTATGCAGATGATAGTACCAATGACTATCTTTTGAATGAAAAAATAAAGAACACTATCCAGCTTAATACGATTTATTTATACATATCCATTATAATTTTATACTAAATTTCTTATATATCCTTATCCGATGTGCCAAACGTAGCTTAATGGGTTTTAAGTCGAAGCAAACTATGACTGATTACAAGCAATGTCATTTTAACCATACTAGAAATAAGTATGATAATGGAGCCAAACCAACGATTTGTTTACACAACAAAAAGGAAATAGAATATGAAATTCCACAGATTGTAATGTTGTAAACTTTGTAGGTTCAATTACGAGTAGAGAATGACCAGTTAAACACGTAGGCTAGACAAAAAGTAGTTCAGAACTTTCCCTTGATAGGAAAAAGTTTTAAAAGATCTATAAGTTAACTATAAAATCAGCTATGCTATATACTTTATGCCAGTGAGAACTGAGAACTAGACCATGAAGGACGAGTGTGTAAATTAACCATACCAAGATTCTACATCAATAAATAGAGTGGCAACTATTGAGAATGAATTTACTGACGAACATTGGACATATCTTGCCAAAAACACTAAACAAAAATGTCATTCACAAGACTGATGCACTAAACTTACAAACACTAAAACTAATTCAACCAGAAATCATCCTAAAAACTTAATTCATTTGATATTCTTAAAAAACGTTGATTCGGAAAATTGGGAATAAAGCTTAATTCTTCATAGCCTGTAACTGTGCCATTGAGTGATTGCAAACCCATGTTTCACAAAAGCGCTAGTCTTATATTTTTCGAAAGCAACTTGTTGTAGCTCAAAAACATATAAATCAACATAATTAATCAATTTGATCGATAATACAGAAAAAAGGGGGAAAATAGGGGAAAAAGAAAACAGAGAAGCGAAGCAGAGCTTACTTTGTAAAGATTCCAAGGCTCTCACACAGTAACACACAGTAGCGTGTGTGTGCAATATATACGAGCCAGTGTGTGTTTGGGGGCTCTATGTAGCAACACTGAGATTTTGATGTCTCCGAAGCTTCGGAGCCCCTGGAGTTCGTCTCTTTGCTAGAACCCCCACCATATACTGTCTTGGACTTGTTCGATTGCCCCTATGTGTCGGTGTATTTGCTGAAATGCCACTTGCAAAGTGTCAGCGGCGAACGGGCTTAAGGTGGACTACGACGTGTTTGGCTTTGCTTATAAGGCAATAAAAGTTTACTTTTCTATAATAATTTATTTCGTTAATAGAAATTTCAAAATTCATTTTCCAACTGAATTAAAAAAAAAAAAAAAGTTAAGAAAGATATATTAAAATTTAATCTATTTATATTCTTGTTTAGTAGCATGTAAATATGTTTTAAAAATTTAATCATAGCATGTATGACTAATTTTATAATTTCTCGAAAAAGATTGTGCTATGAAAATAATAAGAATAATGCTAATGGTACATATGGGTGTACCTAAGGGGTTACACCCCCCCTCACATGGCGGTGGGATCCACTTAAATAAAAAAAATATTTTATGCAAGTGGGTCCACCCTGTGTGAAGGGGGGGGGGGGGTGGTAACCCCTTAGGTGCATCTTTTGATGTATAACTAGCATTATTCAAATAATAATTTGTTTTGACATATTGAAATAGTAATTTGATAAAAGTGTACTCTAAAATTAGGATTGATTCATGCCAACAAAATTGTAGCTAATTGAGATTTATTTCACATCGGCAATTTTTCCAACTTTTATCAACAATATAGATAAAAGGCTTATTTTTCATGTTTGTTAAGTCCCATTTTTCCATTTGGTGATGCATAATGTTTCAATTAGGAGATAGATAAGAGTGTTAGGACAACAAATGTGTGGACTCGTAGCTAAGAAATGTTGCCCTTGACCCGACCACTCACCAATAAAAGAGAAGAAAGTAAAGTAATGTTATTTAATATCGTTGGTGTTAGGGTTAACACAAATCTAAATGGCATTATTTGATTGACTTAATTAAAAATAGAATTATGCGATTCATTTAATTGTGTCTTTTATTTAATGTCATATCATATGATGTTGGTAAACTATTATGTAAGTTGTGATATACATAAAACATGTAGCACAACCAATAATACTATTCTTTGAAGTATCATCCAAGTATGAGTTTAGACATTTAAGCGTCAAATTTTCCATGGAAGATGGAAATTATTCCACAAATTTTCACTTTTTAGTCTGTTTGATATGAAATATTTTCTAGGCAATTGGTTTTCTCAGTGTGGACGTGACCTTTTTAGTCCTTAAAATCGTAATTCTTATTGTTATGAAAACTGCAGAAAATTATGTAATTGTTCAAATTTTAATTTGTTGACTATCGAAGATTGGACTAAACTATACTCACATCGGAGGAAGGACCATGGCTATTCGCCGAGAGATTAACTTATTTCTCAGTATCATCAATCACAATAAAAGACAATTTAGATAGTTTAGAATATCTCAACATCAATAATTGATTTGAAATGTCATTTAGTTTTTCATTATCCTAGACCCAAACTTGACCAATCTTTGTACTTTGATCCACTATGAAGAATATGTTGAGTTGGCAATTGAAATATTTGTTGGATCCTAAATTACGCCGTCTACGAAACGTACCTGAATGAATGAGAACTTTTTCTCTTTAATTGCTCGACATTCCTGTCACAAAAATATGCTTAACAAATACAGGACCCATCTAGCACGCATCTCATATATTTGGTGAGTCTATCAATTTAGTAGACTATAACATATTTATACAACTCGTTTCAGGCTCTTTACTAGTCTCTAAATATAAAATAAAGTTCATCTTTAAATGATATTTGTCCCAATAAATTATTGTAATCACTTTTTCAAAAAACTTATTTTGAATATGCTATATAAAATAGAGATGAAACATATTTGGAAGAACTTCGACAATTGCTCGTCATTATAGGATCTTGGTCTGTGAAGATCATTTATGGTGCACCCTTAGACATAGCAATCAATCCATGATTGAAGAACCAAACAAATGACTCCATTGTCTCGTCATTTGAAAACACACATCCAATATTATTGTATGACGATGACGATTTATTCTGATCAACAGAGCAAAAAAAATCCCATATCTATTTGTGTTGTACATAGTATAAAAAATAACTACATCAACAAAAATATTATATGCTTGTCTCGAGAAAGAATCGGACAAAAAATACCTAATCAATCTTTCTTCATTATCTCTATTATAATCAAAGGAAAAAATAGAATTTTTTTCATTCTCTAATATAAATAATTCAATCAATAACTCAACATCAATTCTCGAAAGACTCCCAAGAAAAGAGCAACTACAGAGTAGGAAGAAAATCGAGAACACATTTGACAATTACCATTAAACTCTTTTTTCTTTTAAATCAAAAATTCAGACTACACTACCAGTATAATCAAATTCTACAACAACCTTGAAATTGCCCAAACTCGCACAAATGATATAACAAGCACAAATTGTCACCAATTAGAAAATATTTCCAACATCTCTGAAGTCATCATGCTTCATTCTTTCTTATAAACTCTAATTTCTTTCAATTCTCAAGTTTTATTGAGGATTTTCACGAAATAATTATACTCTCAGTTGTAAAGCATATTGAACCCTTGGTTTGAATATCCAATTTTCAACGTCGTGCGCATATAAAGTTAAAAAGGTATTCAGTATAGTGCAATTTATCATTACAAATATTCTTTGAATATCTCAATATTTTTATTTGAAGAAAGAAATGCTATCCCCCACAAATTTTGGGTTGCATCCCAACTTTGGTTAGGAATATAATGCAACCAATCATATCCCACAATTTTGGCAGGACTGAACTTATCCACGTAATATTCATATAATTATATTACGTATCATACAGTTAATTTTATTTAGAAAAAGTCAACTTTTTATATACGATTACCTATTCAAAAAAATAATCTTTTCTATTTAATGAAAAAATTGCCACCCTTATGTAGTGTGATTCACCCATCTATAATTGGACCATTCAAATTTTACCATAGTCAATACATTGCACCACATTTTGTCAGGTTACAAAATGATTTAGGAGGATAACTAATTTTTTGATCGGTGCAATACACACATATGTCGGAAACATCTTTTTTCCACGTTTAAACAAACCACAAGAGTTGGCAATCGACACAATTACCAAAAAACAGTTAACCATATGGCTCTTGTACCTAAACGTGCCTCCTCCAAAAGGACATGTATGTAGCGATGTCAACAAGTCGAGCCGAAAAAAAAAAGCTCGAGTCGATCCCGAACTTTTTTGGATTGAGCTTTTTTTTGTCTGAACCGAGCCAAGCCGAGCCCGACAAAAAAAAGAGGCTCGGCCCAAACTTTTGGCCCGAACAGGCTCGGATTTTTTGGTTTTTATTTTATTTTTTCTTAGTTGCACGAGCTGCCTGCAACAGCTGCCTGCAAGAAGCTAGCAGGCAGCTGCTTGCTTGGTGCCTGCAGGCAGCAAGATGCCTTAAAAAAATTTTTTTTTTTTAATAGGAGGCTCGCACGGGCCACTAGCCAGCTCGGGCTTGAGCCGACTCCCCAAAGTGGGGCTCGGCCGGAGCCTGGGCTCGATTCCACCGAGCTGGGGCCCGACTCGGGCTTTTTCCTAGCCGAACCTCCGAACTTTTTTGCCATCGCTACATGTATGCAATGTTGGAGCAATTGGCACAAAAGGACATATGTGACAATGTAGTCCATACAAATTCAAAACATTTCCCAACATTTCAAAGATATTCAAATGAAATGGGCCCCGGGGCATAGTTCAGTGGTGTTAATGATAGAAGCGAGGTAATTTCAACTGAACGGATAGTTGCAGTGTGAGAGTTCGATTCCTACCTCTTATAAGGTATGGAATTGAACTCTTTGTAGGCAATAATATGACAACACTTGTATTATAGCTTGATGAGATACATCTGACGATTTACTTCCTCCACAATACTCTAGAGACGAGGCGATGGGGGACCCCTCAAGATTGTGGTGCAACTTTTTTTTTTTATCAAATGAAATGGTCCCAATAAAATTTGAGAACAAAACAAGAGTAACAGGTTGTTTTCAAAACTGCCGTCCAATTAGCAGAGAGACTTCCTATCAAAAGAACACACCTTTTTCACCCACATGCACGTGCACAGTTCCCCAATTGCCAGACAAAGTTAGAAGAAACCACTAATTTTATTTCTTGAATAAATACGTACAACTTTCTTTCAATTTTATCGGAGCACAAATAGTTTTCAAATAAAAACAACTTTTAAAATACGCAAAGCATAAATCTATCTTAAAATTGTTGGATAAATTGATACATAATTTATATTCCGTTAGCGATTTATGCATGTAAAATATAGAATAGAATTTTGACTTACCGAAATCAAGATACGCGTACAAATTATTTACTTGTTGAAATGTGGAAATTAGAAGGAGACGAAATGAAGCGAAGTATCATAATACAAATTTTCTTAAGACGGTTTTCGTCCATGTACTGTGCTAACATGATTAAATGGGCGCCTGTCTCATAAAACACAACGCTTCTTCCAAAATTAATATAGCACGGGAGCTAATGCTTGATTGTACTTTATAGAATAGAAGATATAAAATACTAAATATCGAACATAAAACTCAAAAATAATTAAAAATTATTTTGACATAATTTAGTGGAGGAAAAATTAGAAATCAATTATATGAAATTGATTTGGATCGGAAAAAATAAAATTATGAAATCTTATTAATAAATTTATATGTGTCTATTCAAATGATAGCATCTTTTGGTACAAATTAATTTCAACTATTAGACCGCATCATTTCATGATTGATGGTATAGATTGCACATTATCAAAATGTCATCACTTTTCTTTATGCACCTTTTACACTTCAATAGTCGCATCCGATTGATGCACCTATTAAAAACACTCACCGGTTGGAAGTATGAAAGGAATCCTGAATTGATCTTAAAATGATGATAGTAATCGATTTTTCTGGCAAGAGAGTAGAAACAGACGACCGTAGTGTCACCACAATTGGGTCACTGATTGATCTTGATTTATTTTAATTTAATTGGTGGGTCACTAATTAATTTTAATTTTAATTAGAGGGTCACTAATTAATTTTTATTTTAAATTTAAGCTAAGCCCGGTATGTTTTAATAATGGTGCGAGTTAGGCTAAGGAAACTAGCACCATTCTATTCACAATCATATTTTCAAGGAATCTGTCCATAGGACTTGCAGTTCCAACAATTTTCCATACACAAAGCTATATGTACAGTGTGGGGACGACTCACATAGGGGGTGGGTAATTTTTTTTTACTTTTTTATTGAGGTGGGTCGCGCGTGAGACCCACCTCATGTGAGAAGGTGTACCTCGACCCCTGTACATAGAGATTAATTCATTTTTCCATTTATTCATCTCAGGGTCTTTGTCTTATTTTACTCTTTCATGTTAACATGTTCATAACGTACTTTATTTATTTATTTATTTCCTTATTCATCTCTCCTCTACTTTCCTTGCCTACTCTCTCTTAGTTTTACGTGGAAATTGGAAGTGTCAATTGTGGAAATTACGCTCTCCCCTACATTTGGAGATTCAAATTCTAAAATCAGATTTAGTGTTTTAAGTTTCAAAAATCAGATATTTAAATATGTAGATACATATTTTTTATATTTAATTAAATATTAATAAAAATATTATGAAAATTAAATTACATACACCCACCCCACCCCTAAAATTATCAAACCCAAATTCTCGTCCTCTCTCTTCTCACGCCGCTCTCTCTCTCCATGGTGCCTAGCTGGTGGTGGTGCCAGTGGTGCTGACTTTCACCGACGACATCCTCTTCACTGGCGGTAGTGACAGTCTTCATTTTTCCTCTTCACCGGCGCTGTCCATACCCACCCAACCCTAATAATCTCCCCCAATCCCGGTGCTGCAACCATACCCAAACGACTAGGTCACCGCGTCGTCGCCACTACAATCCGGGTGCTGCAACGAAGAAGAGGAAACGACGGTGGAGAAGCTGTTTGTGCAGATCTTCGAGCTGAAAAAAGGGACTATCGAACAAGTCAAGCAGCGAACGGAATAAGAGATGCAGGATTTTGTAATTTCAATTTCTTTCTTTTTTCTTATTAATTATTTGAGTCATGGCGGTTGATCTGTGTTGATGTGGTGCGGTGAGATTTCGCGGCGGTATGTGGTGTTGGTGTAGAGCCTTGCACCATCAGTTGCTCCTGTTTTTGTGGTTTTGTGTGGAGGTTGTGGTCTTTTGGTCGTGACTCAATTACATGTGCATCCACTGTCGTTTGAGTGTGAATTTCATTTCCCCCATGTGAATTTGTGATTTTAATGGTGTTTGGGTCATTCGGTGGTTGTGCGGTAGTTGGTGGTGGTTTGTAAATGGCGGTGGTTTGACTGTAACGTGGTGCCGGCTTGCAGGCAGCTGCGGCGGTGTTCTTTTTTTTATTTATTATGGTAGTGATGCGATGCAGGCGATGGTTCGGTGGTTGTGGAGGTGTGCGGGCATCAGTGGTTTGAATCTGAGTTGTGTTTCGTGACCAACTGGGACCACATAATGTACTAATCGTGACCTCATAATGGATTAACTGTGACTTTAAAATTCGAAAATTTGTGATTAAATAGTAATCTGAACCATGTGCAAAAATATTTTGTGACCTGAGTTATGACTTATGACCTGAGTTGTGACCTGAGCTGTGACTTGTGAATTGGACTGTGACCTGAGTTGTGACTTGGGCTGTGACTAGTGAATTGGACTGTGACTTGAGTCGTTGGAATCAGAACAGTCACCGGAAACGATCATCGAAATCGGAGTAGTCGCCAGAACGGTCGCTGGAGAAATTGTCGGAATCGGAGTAGTCGACGGA